ACGTTGGTCAAACGATTCCAACGGTTTAAAAAGGCGGGAAAGAACCGTTGATTCATCCAATCACTCGTTGCTTTCACTAATTTAAAGGCGTATTATCCCCATAAGGTGCGCGTGAGAATTTGTGAGACCATGGAAGAGACGCAAAGAATGAGTGCAACTGATCTTGTTAGGAAGACCAATGTTCTTGATACCTTTTAGTAATGGTATTAAGGGTCTGCGAGAACAATCCAGAACTATTTCGGCATAAGGGATTTTCACGAAAAACATCACAACGTGAAGAAATCATCTGCGCTCGACCACTGAATATGACGAAAAATGAATTTCGGGAAAGGATGGCTGTGGGTGAAGACATCGCAACATCTCTACACAGAAGACGACGTATGTTAAATCGTCACTTCTGCAAACTTACAAGGGACAGCAGAAGTGTGTAGAGAACAAAATGTACAATGATGATGTGTTTGAGCCTCCAACAACGGTAGAAAGGAAGCAGATTATATCACCTATTGCTATTAACCGGTTTTTATCATATTACCTGCGGCCTGTAGTGATAACAATAAGTGGGTCCACTATATATATAATTTCACTCTTTTTAATAAAAATGACTCGTATGGCCGAATATGAGTTGCATTAATAAACGTTGGTAACATCAGCTGCGCCGACGCCTGCGCACACGGGTGTTGTTTACAAGGTCAAATAATTTATTGTTAATTAATTGACACGTATTTTGTAGAGAAAACGGGTGACTTGGCTTTACGCGACTCCAGCAGTCATACACACACAATTTAATTTCAAATCAATTAGCTGGAAGGAAACTGTCCAATAATTTCACCCAAATATTTTATGAGGCGAGAAAACAACGCTCATCAAACAATCTTATTGAAATCTGCAGGTGTGCCTCTTGGTTGGATTTTTACATTTCGTGCATCACGCCTCTCTGTACAGTCTGTTGCTGGCATTAAAATAAGTTGGAGCTTGTATCCCTTATCGTCATGAACGAGCGGAATCTGATCATTTCACGATAACATGGCAACCACCACCAGCGCATGCGGAATGGCGTCGTATTTATAAATTCAAATTTCAACGGTGCAGTGACGCTTCGCTACACAGAGAGTCTCCGGCTGACGTGATAACAACTTATCCTTGAGGCCATTCAACGCATTTTCTGTCAGTTGTTTTCTTAAACTTTTAACTTGACATTTTGGAGCTTCGATACGCGAATCAAAGTTGGTTGACGAGGTTCCCGACCTTCAGGATTAACATAACTAACAACATCTTTGATCCAATGCAAGGCATAATTTCAGTGTATCATTCAAACGTGAACAGTACACCCTCCCTCCCGCCTCGCATTTTTCTGTTTCCCTCACAGATCTCGAGCAAGACTCGTTACTGTAAGGCTTGTCACACGAGTGTGTCGTTTCGCAGACTGTTATTCCACGACGCGCGGAAAAGTAACCGTCGTGTGACAAGCTTAAGAGACAAGACCACAGTGTTTTTACTCTGTGGATAAGACCGAGTTGGAAGACATGACTACAGTAGTTTACTTCGATTTACAGGCAAAATCAGGCAGTGCTGGCGATCACGCGATACGACCGAAAAAGACTCGAAATGCCTTGAGATACTCCGTCGTGAGACTGGTTCTCACGCGCCAAGAAATAAAACCCCAAATATCAAAATAAATGTTTGTAAACAATTTCCATTTGACGAAACTTGTTGAAGAATGTTGCATGTACTTCATATGTATTTTTACATTCTCGCACTTACTTCGTGAGAAGAGAAAATTGTTAATCATGAGCCGCAGAAAAACTTATTGTCAGATCCTGGTAACGAAACTGAATAAATCATGTTTGCGCGTATGTGCCTCCGTCCGTCTGTGGTCAACACTAGCGCCTAAAAAAAACATTTTCTTAAAAATTGATATTCTGTTATCGATCTCAACGAACTCGAGGCCTTGAAAGTTTCAAACGGATATTTTGATTTTTGACGGTACTTTACACGAAGCCTCAAAAACATTCAATTTTTTCTCAAAAATCGCTCCATATTTTATTTTTTTTTTGATAAAACGCAGGAGCGGCTCTACGACGAGCTGCAGAACCCCCACTATTCTACTTCTCTGAAATATTTTTTTCTAGAGGCTTTTGCTCTAGAACGACAGTTTCTGAATGACTCAGTTTCTGTATCACTCATGACTTTTGAATGACTCAGTCTATTTACTCTCCTCACGATTAATTCGTGAGCCCAACCGGGCGTGCAGCGCTCTCCTTGCGTAAGCTGCAATTTGAAGCTCCAAAACATTGGCATTGCTGTCAATCTCGGTTATTTGGCGGGGCTTCGGTCGCTTATAAGAGAACACGCGAACTGCGCTCGAAGCAGCTCCAGGGTTCCAGGGAGCCCAGAATGCTTCACGAATAATGCTGAGTCGATGCAACGAGCGATAGCAGAGGCGAGAACACATGAATCTCGCAAAGGTTTCTGAACAGTTGTTTGATGGAATTTTTCGGCATTTTGCCTTGTGTGAAGACGGTGCTTAAATAAGGCCCAGTGGCCGGCGTGTGCGAAGGTGCGTTACTAACTACGAGTGGTAATAAATGAATTAACTTATTAACTACCGGTCGAAAATCAATTGTGTCGCCCTATTGAAGTCATTTTCTTCATTGGTTGACGAGGAAAAAAGTACGAGTAAACGAACAACGAAGGCACCTCCCGGAATTAAAATTCTTTAGTTTTAGGAAGACACTGAGGCAGAACTTATACAAGACGTTATGGTAAAGATATACGAAAGAAACAAGTGGATATGCGGATGTGATCAACTGGATGCTCTTCTGTTTTCCATGCGTTCTCTTTGGCGGGGAAAGTGCGTGGTTAAAGACTGAGGTGAAAGATCTTGTGCACCTCTCCGAGAAAATAAAATAAAAATCACGAGTATTTCAGGTCACTTTTGTATAACCAAGTTCATTTATCATCCTTGGGAGAGAAAACTTGATAACCTGATTCTGCTTACTGGACTAATATTCCAAAACACAATGAAAATGTCATCAAGAATAGGCATGTTTTTTCGAAAAATAATAGATTGTATTAAGTTTTCAGGAGCGTTTGAACTCGCAACACAAATTTTAATTGAAGTAACACGAAGCGTCTAATTTTTAATTTCGCGCGGTTATTTACTCACACTTAACTTCGCAGATCATTTACTCACACGAGCTGCCACTGGTCCTCGGATAGCGTAAAGGACGCTTAAAAAGACTGGTGCAGGTGTCGTGCTCATCAAAATCCCTGATTTCACGAAAATTGCAATAATTCAACATTGAAGATTCTTTCTTAATGGAACTATTTTCAAAGGCAGATCTTGAAATAAGACCATGTTCAAGTTTTCGTACCATTCAACGCGGAATATAGGCAATTTTAAATATTTTGCTAAAAAAACTCATTTTTTACCTCCTCGCACTTGTGCGCCAAAAACCGGCGAACTTTCGACACAAAAATTCCTTATTGCCGGGCCCTGGTAAGGGGAAAGTGGATACATCTAGTTGCTAAACATAAAAAAAAATCCTCTAACACATGGTGTAACAAGAATGTTTTGTAGGTCCCTGAGACTGAAAAATCGATTTACGCAAAACGTGTGTGTACAACGCTAGTCCATTAACCTTTTCCGCCGATTTTCTTCAAAGTTCATATTCTCCAATCGATATAACTGATTTCGCGGACTCTGGAATTTGAAACCGAAATTTTAATATTGGGGGTACTTTAGATGAAGCCCCTAGGACATTTTCCGAAAAATGGCTCCAAATGTTTAGATTAAATTTTGTTGAATAGTGTAAAGGACGTTTAAGTGAATGGAGCAAGGTCTCATTATTGTTGACATCCCCGATTTTTCGAAAATTGAAAAAATAGAACTTCAAAATTGGAGATAGTGATTGCCTCAGTGTTGTACAAAATTAGCTCTTCAAAAAAAGACAATTACAATTTTTTGAAAAAACAAATAGTTTTAGCGCATTTTTGATTGAAATTTTCAACAAAAAATCTCAAAAACCACTCCAAATTTTTTCTTTATATTTTTCTTTACTTGTGTAATACGAGACGATAAAAATATGGCGCTAGTCCCATTTTCGGATATAGCTCAGTTTTTTAAAAATTTTAACAAAGAAAATTAAAAATATAAAAATTGAAGAGATTTTTGCCACAGGCAGTCTTTTGTACAAAATTAGCTCTTTAAAAAAAAGGTCACGTACAATTGTTTACAAAAACCAGTATTTTTGCATATGAAATTGAAATTTACAACAACAAAAAACCTCAAAAACTGCTCCAATTTTTTTTCTTTACCATGTAATACTGAATGGTTCAGGTATTGTTAGCTTTTTTTCAAAAATTGCCAGCCCTTTAAGAAAGGTGATGTAAAATTTTTAGAGAAAAACAAGTAGTTTTTGAATAATTTCTGCTTGAAATTAAAGAAATGTATACTATTTCACACCAATTATGTGCCAGAAGAAAAATTGAATGATATGAAAAATAATTAATTTAATTTCAATTATAATTTCCCATTGAAAATGGCAATATTAGTACTATTTTTCCTCTCACATTTTTACATTTTACTGAATGTTTATTTTCAATGTATTGATGTATTTCTTTTTATGCAATCCACAAAGCTTAATCAAAATTTCACAATGCCGCATTGATTGAGAAGCAAGTGTTTTGTTAATATCTTCTCTCTTTCGAGAAACCCAACCTTTGTTGAAAAGCAAGTGTTTATCGAATCTGATGTATGGATGTCACAAGTCAAGTGAAGAAATGACATGCTATTGGAAGTTATCTTACGACGAAAGGCATTTCACAAATGCTTGTCATTATTGTGATGACAATTGCATAAATTATAATTACTGTATTGATATTAGCCAAGCGAATGCACATAGTTTTAATAACGCTGTGCTGGCAAGAGTACGTTGCTCACTTCTTGATTGAACTGGATGTTTTGAAATAATGGCTGAGAAGTTAGTAGCGCAGAAAATGCAATATTCTAATATTACATAGCAGTTTCCAATAACGTGAGAAAGTATGTGCTGTTGTAGCACCCACTAGTTCAACGATGATATGGGTTACTCAGAAGAATGATGTGGAATCCCATTTTCATTGCTCTTATTCAAAAATTGCAAATTTAGTTGCATTCTTTTGTTCATCTAACACAATAAGATGTATTATAAACAAATATTTAAAATTCTGGAAAAATAGTTCGCAAGTGGTTCACAGACTTATTTCTTAGTGCTTTCTGGTGTATTTACAAACTTTCTTGATTATGAAGACTTTTCACCAGTCTACAACTTGTTTGTTTCTTTGTTGGATTCTCAGGGCTGTTATAACTTCCAAATTTAATAACTTGACACCCATTCCATCTGTTCTGGTAACTTTTACATTTATTTTTGTTCTTTATATCTTTCAAAGAGTGGTTCATCCAGACGGGTGAGCAAAAGTTCCGAGAAGCCAAGCGATATTTAACATGCCACTAAACAATTCAATTTGGTTGTAATATATTCTTAATACAAACATCTCTGCCAGCTTATAAACAATGCATACTAGCACTTTTTCCACTAATCATTCTTCACATATCAATCTCATTCATAGGTTTTTAATGCTGCAGTGGCTAGTATGTTAAACTTTCCTTAGTTGTATCTTCTTATTCATTGTTCATTAGTTGTGTGTTTTTGGCTGTTCATCGCATGGGTTGGAATGCAGTGTTTACTTTATATTCATTCTTTGTACTTGCCAATGAAGAATATATATAGTTGTTTACTTCTGTTAAGACATGTAAACCTGTAAAAACACTGGAGTCTCTAACTCCCTGAAATATACCTAGTGTTGCTCTGAAACAAAAATGTTAAGGGCACCTTCACACAAGCATTGCATTGATACACAGCATAGAATGACACAGTCTTATGTGAAATGACGCACGAGTTCTCGGGCCATTCTGCAGAAGATAGTATTCATCTATGATTACTTATCGCACCTTACTTATCGCACATCAACGCAACACTCTCATGTAAGACAGGCTTTAATTAATCAACTCCTAGAAAAGCATTTTTAAATTTCTAAAGGATTGGTGGAGGAAAAGAGGATACAAGATGCATAATTGATTTTTAGTTCTGTACAACATCAATAATTCCAGGCTAAAATTCAGTGTTCTGTTTCTCGTTATTGTTACTTCATTCACCTCGAGATATTTTAACACCAACTATCTGATTTTAATTTAAACTATTTTCTGAAAGTATGTCCCACTACAGATTTTTTTAAAAATTATTTGAGATAAACTTTCATTATTTATTATCCTTTTATACTCTTGCCTGACCTCAAATGATACATTTTTAAGCGCAAATCATTAAGATCCTGTTTAGGTGTTTCATCTCAATTTAATTCAGACATCAACCCTTGTTTAGGATATTTGAAAATCTTTTATACTACCCAATCAACTCAAAACAAATTAAGTCAGATCAATTTACAATGGATGTTGTTAATGTTACAGTGACTTTGCACATTACTCCTTACACTCCACAATATTGGCTTCACTTTAATCGAAATAGCAGACACAAAAACCCTGAAGTTACTTGAAAACAAGTTACTACAAAACTTTTTTATTGTACTTTCAACATTAGCAGATGAATTAATACCAGCCGCTGCTTGCTTCAATTATAGTGAATTCAACATTTCTACAAAGCATAGAATTACAACAGACTTAATCAATGTTTCTCATATAATACAAAATTCTGGATTTCATTGTAATAAGGATTGAACAAATATGTACAACAGCATCACTCTTCTGAATTGAAAATAATTCACAAATAATGCATTCTCACCAATGTCCAAGACATATCTTTTGTACTCTTAACATCGCTTAGTGTCTTTACATCCAATGCTATTTTCACACATTTTGCAAACAGCTCTAAAACAGTTGGTGAGGTACAACTTTCTTTCAGAAATTGCACAATCAAAAAATGCAGTCTTACCCAATATATACATTCATTCTTGAATTCATACAAACACTATTAATTACAACTTTAAAGAAGATAAAATTCTCAATGGCGACTCAAAACAATATTCCCAGGAGCACTAAATGGGCCACATCTTGCAAAAACATCTACAGCACGTACAGCAAAATGGTACTTGTGGCCTTCCATGAACTGGAAACAAAACAATAAAATGCATAAATAACTTTAAGAATATAAGAGTATTTGTTTCCTGCTAATAATAATAATAATAATAATAATAATAATAATAATAATAATAATTTCTTCAACAACCAATATACACAAACTTCAGATTTATATAAAATGGCAAACAATTCTCAAATGATTATAATTTGCTTGGAATGGAAAGTGAAAATTTAAAGATCAGAAACTTACCACAGAGATTTTAATATATTAATGGAATTTTATCACTATAAAATGGAAACAAAAACAATTCAGGTGCGTATTCAAGTATATGTTTCCCTTTGTCAACATGCCAGATTGAAAGGATTGACAATGCAAATAGAACTTCAATTTTCCCAACATATTCAACAAAATGAAATATTAAAACAGTCACTTATCAACTGCTCATGTGTTTCATCTAGTAATAAAGTAAGATCCTAAAGTTCAGCAGTGTTTTCATGAAATACAATTTTCATCTCCCCATTCTAGCAAAATTATTTCCAATTCCACCATTGCACATACCTGGATAACAATAGTTTGTTGTTGTTTTTACTCAACAATTTATGAATCATTCTTTTACTCACTCCATGAAACTAGTAGTACTAGTAGTACTATTAATACTATTAATTTCTATTTTTTGAAGTAGTGGTGCATTTGCTACCCAAACATGAGTCGCCCTTCTTACTGCCCTCAAAACCACTGGCCTGGCATCACATCAAAGGCAGTGGGCTGTCTTTTAATTTGTATCTTGCTATCTCGTCGTGTACGTTCCTTGTCCACCATGGTGATTAGGAGTTCCGAAGTTTACTTCTTGTGTCTCTTCCTTCTTTTTCTTTTCTGCTGATAATTTTAGACGAATATTAGCTGATTTTGCTCCAGTTACTTTTGCTTTCAATCATTTGGTAATAATGTTGTCTGCTGTTAGGTTCTCTCCCAATTGTAAATTTATATTAAATCTACGATTGTCCCATCTACAGCAGTGAAATGCTGGGTCTATTGCCTTGCAATAGCAGCACAGGTACTCAAGTGTTCTGCCAATTCTACATGTGTAGACACCAAAATTTCCATGCTGTCATAAATTGGGTAGTCTGGTAGCATAGATCTATGTTTACGAGTCACCCAGGGCTGCTTTATCAAGCATCATGTCAATGGAGCTGTAGGCGTGCTGTCCCACTCCAGCCATTTTTTGTACGATTGTTCCTGGGTTTCCTCATTTGCATCAAATAGTGTCTTTCGTTCCTGGGCAGAATGTGCATTGGCATAGTCCTGTTAAAACCCATGCAGCTTCAGCAGAAACTGTTCTATATGCACATACAATTCTCAATGCCATTTTTCTTTGTGGCCTGATAAGTTTTGTCTGTGCTGATTCCACCCATATAGCATATAGCAGCATAGTGTAGTATTCTGTGCATTACAGAACTCTGTATTTTCCTTTTTTCTTGGCTGGGGTCTCTGATATTTGGCATCAGCCCGGCGAGTGCGCCAATTCTTTGCTGCCTTTTCCGTAATTATGTTGCAGTAGTGTACTAAAGTCAATTTCTGGTCTATCACAACCCCAAGATATTTTACTGCATTGGCTGAATTAACTACCTCTATCCTCCAACTCCCTCATATTTATATATCAAGATGCATGATTGAATGCATTTTTTAAACCGAGGAGTATTAATGCACACAACAGTCCTTTGTCGTTAGCTTTACTCAGAACATTGTCGATAGCTCCATACATCAATTTGTTTTCTGAAGCCATATTGTCTGTCGCTCAGGTTACCTGTTCTACTAACTTTTCCTAGATATGTGAAAATGTACCTCGTTTTATTAATGATTCTAAGGTACACTTTATGTACTCCAAGTCCATGACAACCAGCATCTTCCCTGCTTTCCTTCTGGTCCTGGGACAATACTTTCTTTTAGTTTCTTCGCAGCTTGCTGGACCTCGCTTTTGTAGGAACCTTGCAGGACTGGAATTTCCTCTGTGTTGTTCTCAACATTCTATATTTTCCTAGTGTCGTGAAAAGAAAATGACTATTATATCTAGTCTTCTTTCTAGAGTCAAATGCTCATTAATGCAAAGTGTTTTCATGGCAATTCTATAGCCATTCCCCCATACAATTGCTTTAATATTCTGGCTTAGTTGGAGCCAACACTTCCGTTTTTCTTGAGCAATTCTTTTGCAGTTGAGTTCTTATAGAGATTGTCAAGCCTCAATTCACTAGGGGAATTTTCCTTTTTTACCTTGGTTATTTTCTTTTGGTGGTAAGAACCTCCTTTCTTAGTGCAGAGTTCAGGTCCCCACCCTGGAGGATCTATTTTGTTGACTCTTGTAGCGATCTTCGAGTCTTTGCACAATTTCTGTAAACATTTCACACACTCTGTAGGTTTAACTCTGTATAGTTTAACTTCCTGGATGCATTGTTTTGTAGAGCATGTTGTTATTTTTTGATCTCATTTGAAAATAATCACAGAATCACTGATCGATTGAAAGTCTTTCTGATCAGTTGCCTTCAACGTTTTAATTTTCATTTCGAGGTGAGCTTGTTTAATGCGCTATTCTACTTAATCTTAATCAGCTCCATTAATTCCTTAGCCTTTCTCTTCTTCAGCTCACTCTCATACCGAATCTGTTTCTCTAATTCCATTTCCTGATGCACTTGTTCTTCAATAGCATTTTTCTCCTTGGCTCTGGCCACAGGGATATAGCAAAGCATGCCTCGAGTTAATATGATGGCATTTTTCTCCATCTGCAGTTTAAGGTCATATTATCCATTGACAATTATTGTAGCCCTAATGTGTCCATGTGTAGAGCTTATAATAAGTGACTTGCAAACACATCGAAGCAAATTTAAAATCATTGGCTGAGTGTCTTTTCCTCTCGCATGCATAATGTTTAGAGAGCTTGGGGTGCAAATTTTCAAGCATGCAAACCAATTGCAAATTTCCAAATACTTTAGACAATGTTTTATAGAGTATTGTTTAATTTGATAGTTTAAGACTTAAAATATTGTAATTAACTTAAAATAGTTATTGAAAAATGATTCTTAAAATTAATAAAATTTCTTATAAATAATTTATTCCTTCAATTAGAAATAATTGTTAGCTTGAATTCTACATCAAAAATCAATTTTTTGAACGTGATAACTTTTTTCCATGTTTTCTCGTTTTCCAGAAAAAGGTCACCCTGTAGTAGTATTGTATGATAGTGCAATATATGACTATCATCCAAAGAATGTTACCCTTCATATTAGGATGAGTATTGAAATATAGATCCACAATTTATCTTGAAACTCCTCTCAGTTGAAAAGTTAATATTGTCATGCCTTTTGTAAGTACTGTTTCTACATTAAAAGATCAAGTTGCTAAATTCCCAATGAACTTAGGAGTTACCTTTTCTGGCAGTGTATATTTTCTTCAGTAAAGTCGAGGATAAAGAAAATGAACAAAAGTTAGTATTATAATAATCAAAGGAAAAAAGAAAAGCAAAGTAAGGGGGTGGATTATGTACAAGTGTCTACACCACAAATATTCCATTCTGTGTCTAGTCTGCTCTTCATCTATAATTTACACACACACACACATTCATTTTTTAATATTTTTTTTTTTACCTGTGTTAATGTACATGCCATTGGGAGTGGAAGAGCTGTTACATCACCCACTTTCTTCCATAGGTGTGTGCTAGGTGGTGCATTTCCTTCTTGATATGCAAACAGTTGGTAACTTGCTATCTGTTCATGGTCATTCGAGACTGTCATGTTCCAGGACAACACAATACCTACAAACCACAGTGCCATAAAATTTTAAATAAAAATTTATCACGGTTCGTATGTCGGCTAATTTAAGGGCATTGCAAAATACCTTGCTGATTTCTGTTTGGGACTTTTGATATTTTCAGATCAGGTTTTGGAGGAGGAAGTTTCCAGTTTGCATTACTTGGCCCAGACGGTACTGGAGGCAATGGGGCAGGATGCTGCTAACATTGAATTGCTTTAAAAATCAATTGCATCATATTTAAACTACCAAATGTTTCACATTACTTACAGATACTGAAGATACAGTAAGACCTGATGACTGTACCACTGACAATCCAGTGGATTGCACAGAATTTGCATTAATTGGAAAACGCTGAATAAGCTGTCCTGTTCTAGGTTGTCTGGTTAGTTGCAATGAACTACCAATACTTGATGTTCTGATAATATTTCCTCCACCTGTCAGGAAGGGAAAATAATTTACTTTCAATCATGAATCCAAAGAACAAAATTAATACACACTTTGACAATAAATACTGTATAATTATTTTATCCCCAAATCAATTATCAGTAAGCCCCAGAACTCTCATTTTTATACCTGCCACAGATGAAACAGGAACAACTTGACCTGGCTTCAAAACAATCGTTGGTAGAGGATTTTGTCGTTGCGACATGCTCGCAACTCCCGCTGGACGAACCTAACGAACAAAGACACTTGCTGAGGACTAATAAGCTCACTAAATTATAGAACACACAATTCAATGGCACAGCAAATTCAAGCCCTGGATGTAGAACAGGTCACAACAGTTAATCCTTGAAGTACATGGCTTTTCCACATGATCATGAATGGCAAATTACAGAATACACACATTAAGAAAATGGAAAAATTGAAATTGTTTTTCACTAAGAGTATGCATATAAACTAATGAGACCTGGGCCTGTAAGTCTAAAATTTCAAAAGTAACAACAGTCTGATTGATAGGAACTGCATTGATTTGCTGATGGTGTGTGTCTGATCATGGTGACTTAGAACCTCAATTAGAAACCTCAAATTTCAAAGTTAATTGCAGGTCATTTTTGAAACATCACATACACATAAAAAATGTATACCTTTCAATGTTACCATGCATTTTAATTTGAATGTCCTTTAATGAATGTTAAATAACATCTCTCAAATAAGAACTTTTTTTTTTTTTTTTTTTTTTTTTTTTTTTTCTCCCTCTCTCCAGATTTCACTCTTAATTTCCTCAAGAGAAAGGAAAGAAGAAGTCAAAAGGAAGAAAAAGCAAAGCAAGAAGATTGGAAAATAAACGAAGAAAACAAAAGAAAAATCAATGATCAGATATCCTATTTTTAATGATTTTACTTCTACAGATGTTGCAATGATGCAATTTTAAGAAAGATTGAATTCGGTTTTTCTCCTATTAACGAAAAAATTAACAACTTTAAAAATGATCACAGGAGTCAAAAACTTCCTAAAATGGCATAATTACAGAAACAAAATTGTGAACTCATATTATACTTCACTAACATGGCACTATTTTAAACAACATAGGGAGGTTAAAATAGCAATATCTCTCTTGGAACACTTTTTGGATAAATGAGAAAAACGTAATAAATAAGAAAAATATCATAAGTTGGAAATCGAATTTCATGAAAATTCCCTTGAAAATGAATAAATTACTCTTGTAATCTTTTTATTTATTTTTCTCATTTATGGAAAAAAGTACTCTAATGGAAATATTAATTCTTGTTGTGAATCTCCTTGAATTCATTAGTTCAATATCTGGTTTTCAATTTCACTCACCTGAGAAGGACTTGAAATTATTAACTGTCTTGGCTGCACAGGAACAGAAGTTGACGGAACAAAGTAAGCTACTCGTTGACCGGCTACCGCATTTGCAGCACTCTGAAGTAGAAAACTGCATATGACATACTTCACCAGCTAGATATTAAAATGATAAAATAAAAGTCATTTTTACCTGTGCAATAATAGGTGTACTTGAAGTTCCTAATTGTTGAACTACTCTAATTGAACGATTAGCAGGAATACTCATTGTAGCTACTGCTGCATTACTCACAGAACTTGTAACAGTTGTACTAACAGTAGGTACAGAAACAGTTGTAGCTGGAGAACTGCTCACCACAGGCAAACGAGTGGTAGCTGAAAATATTGCAAGTACCATTAATAGACTAAAATTATTACTATTGAGGTAAGTGCTTAGTGCCTCATTCTCAAACACTATTCATCAGAATAAGGACATGAGAATAAACTTTAAATGCATTCAGTCACACAATGAATGCTATTATGTATTTTGGAACAAAATGGCTTCAAGATGGTATCAGTTGCAAAGAAATAGTAACACAGTAACTGACATTGATTTGAATAAATAAATCATTACACCAATATTTTGATAGCAACATACTGTTTTTGGTTTTGTCTTCTCCATCTGTGAGATCAATAACTTGATGATCTGATTTCACTCTATTTACAGGAGGTTGCGCCTTTCCAGTCTTATTTGGGGTCGCAGGTGGATTTGCACTCGCTGGTGGCTTTGTTTGCAATGCCTAGAAATTAAATGTTTTCAACAATGGAATGTCTATATGTTTTAATCAATAGAAATTAAAATGAAGAACACATTTTTCATACAATTTTATTACTTTCAATCTGATTCACTACAATATTTTTGAAACAAATTCACTACAACATTTTTCGAAGAATTCGGAAAAATTAAAATATCTGAATTTAATTAGATTTTACCTTTATTCCACCAACAGGTTGGTGTGTTGGTGTGTTAAGTCGAGTTGAAGCTGTGGATGCTTGTACATCACTTCCATCAGAAACTTTCTGAACAGCCGTTGATGTAGGTTTTGCGACTGGGGAACTAGCTTTTGAAGAATTTGTCTAGAACAACAATATAATAAAGTCAATACCAATAAACACTTCATCTACCTTCTTACTTGTTGCAAGAACTAGTCAGCTACTTCATACCCCAGATGTTGACACAGATGATGTGGGAGTAGGTGGTGGAGTTTTCTCCGATTTACGTTTTGTACTTTCTTCTGGATTCCAACTGCTACCGGAAATTCCCTTCAACATTAAAACACACGCATGCAATTATGTTTATTCTTTTTAGATTATCCACATTTGTCACCAGTCTTGGACTAAGAATGTCACTGGCAATTCATCTTTCCACTATTTATATTTAAAATGTTGGGAAGGGATTCTCAAGCTCAAGAAAATGTGCGCACACGGTACTACCCTCAAAATTCAATTCAATAAGCAAGAGATTTAGAAACTTGAAATTGATTAATGAAATTTGTCAATACTTTTAAAGGGCACAAATTTAGATTCAAAATAAATTCAATGAACAAGTTTTTAGTTAATAAGAAATGAACAGTTTTTTCCTATTTTCACAATATCCACAAAGCAACAAATAAGTAATAAATATTTATTGGATGGAGAAGTCACCTGCCCTATTTTTAAAATTTGCACTTGGAGCCTGTTTTGCATTCTATAAAAATCAAAGATAAAAAAATTTACATAAATATTTCCCAACTCCATTTTAAACTACGTAACTAGTTCCATTTATCTTAAGTCATATTTTCAAGGAATTTACAACCAAAATATTAAATTGAAATACACATTTATTATAGTTAAATTATTAGCTCAAACATTCTTCACAAAAGAACAATCATACTTAACCTAAACTATAAATGCTAAAATTGTTGTAGTGTAATAACACATAAGCTTTATATTATTAAAATAATCCCATCACTGGATTTGTACAAGGTAAAATTTAAAGATTAAAAATAATTTTTCATTAAATTTTGTCCCTCCAGTAAAGAACATATTCCCTGACATTTTGCAGCTTTCTAGGTCTGAAACCACAGTTATCAAAGTATACAAGTACTTTTCCAAAAAAGGACTTGGTAAATCACAACCTTGCCGCTTGGCTATACAGAATGTGATTGAATGGTATACAGAACAGGAATCTCGTTCAGCCATCTAGGAAGAATTTTATTAAGAATTTCCACATTTTCTGTAGTCACTCTGTGATAGTAATTTCCAATTTTCATTTTGTGTGTGCTCATTCTTTCTACAATTGTTGAAGAGTAAAGTTAAAAATTGCATTTATGTTTGTAGCAACCAAATCACTGGGAAACAAGTAAAGGGGAAAACACTTCCGTCTTGTGTTTAACTGTGGTGAGTACACAATTTACGTTTTTCAGTTGTCCCAAGCTGCAGTTCTTGCTTCCAACACACACAATTGTATTGGTCCAGATCCCCAGTTCTGGAGTGACGTTTAGGCTGAGAGATTCTCCAGTAAAAATTATATTCTTACCGGCATTTGAACTTGAAGACCAACAGATCGAGTAATCCGAACAGGTATTGCACCAGGTCCTTTGCTTTGAAGATCCGATCCATAACGCTTCAAGACCACGTTCAGGTCTTTTACCTGAAACAATTTAAAATAACATTGTTTTGAATATGATAATTGTAAACACCAAAATTGTATCTATGTTTTGTAAACTATGAAAACTTCATATTGTACATTGCAAGGGAAAGAGAAAGGAAAATGTTTCTTGGAATAAATTTCCTTGCAGTCCTTGTAGCAGTATTACAGACATTTTGCAGACATTTTAAAAATTATTTGACAAATCATTTGTGTTTATTACAATTAAAAATCATTCATGCATAAACATTGATGAAACATTATTGAACTGAAAATTTTACTGAGCAGTGGCAATTCTCTCTTCAAATATTTGTTGTTCAAATACATTTGGCTTTAACCGAGACAACACTAAAAAACAAAAATCAATTGATGATGATCAAAACCTATTCTAAATTTGATAACTTTTAATAATGATCAATGATCAAGAGATCAGATTAAGGAAATCAGATATCACTTGAAAACTCTGAATGATAGCTGCCCCAACACAATATTACAAAATGAGGGCAAATAAAATGACTAAGTACATTTTACTTCGCGCCAGGTCCAATTAGCTATAAGGATAGTTAGTGGTTCGTCTGACTTCACCACTACTCTTGCTCAGTTCTACAACTTAATTAGCTCTCGTCTATGAACCTCTGGGCGGTACGGCCTGTCGTTCAAGGTTGAGCGGCTATTTTTCTATTGGGACAGGTAGGCAAGTACAAAAATACAATTCGCTTATGATAATTACTATTCAAAGCTTCTGAAATTCGCCCGTGAGGTATTATAGGTGAAATTGCGTCTACTGGTGGAATGAAAAAGCGTGATCAGGTGTTTACTAATAAATGACTAAATTATTTTCTTTATGAGATATTTAATTTTTTGGGGAGGGGGACATATTTGATTTCGAATTTTAGGATTTGGGTGTCACCGACGTAAACTCTGGTTGACATTTTTGTATTCCCGGGGCTTATTTACAGAATAAGATGCATAATAGGTAATAAAAATTGGCGTAATACATACTTTTCGTTAAACATATGAAGGTACAATAGAGACTCTTCTCTGATTGATTAGTGAAAGTTCTCTGCTGATGGCCTTCGGCTATTTGGGTGACGCTTCGACGAAGGTTGTGTTGCCGTCGTTCGATCATATTCTGGCTCTTCCGCACTGAAAAGGCTGACGTTTATTAATGCTGAAGACCACAGTATTAATTGTTGAAAGCGTCAGCATTTCCAGTGTTAAGAAGACCATGGCATGATGGGTGAAAACCTCAGTATTCCAGCTCCGAAGATCACGTGATGATCGAAGCGTCGGCCATCACCTCCTTCTATTGAGCTCACGACGACGGCGAGAGGTTCGTAAATTACGTGCGAAAAACACATAATTTGCAAATCCTAAACTAGAAAGGAAATTTTAATTTTTTGGTTGAAAATTGACTTTAAACTGGAATGAAAGCCATTTTCTGGTCGTAAGTACTGAATTTACAGGCAATTTTTCCATTGAATAATTACACAAATGACAACTTCTCACCAGGATGCATTGACAAGGATTGTCAGAGTAGCAAGTTGCAGAATACATGTATTGTTTTTCTTCATTGTGTCACGTCTGCAGAAAGGGAAGTTTCTGCTTACCCTTCCCTTTGTATCCAACTCCAAGCCACTTCACACCAACTTAACATAGCCATGTGATTTCCAAAACTTCACCACAAACATAAATGTCACCTGAAAAGTTTTGTGCCATTTTGACCAGATGGAATGATATGAAATTTGCAGTAATAATGGAATTGTAATGTTTAATTTAAGCATTATTGATTTTTGTGAAATAATTTAGAGGCCAAGCTAAGAATGGAGGAATACAAAGCTTGCGATAAGGATGTAAACCAAAATGAGTACATTTTCCTTTCAGGAACTTTCTGAAGGACCAGCTTATGCCAACGGCAGAACTGATTTACTGGTTGAAACTCCTGTACAATGATTACAATGTACTACATCTCTTTGCCATGATAAATTTTCAGATCCCCAGAGTGAATTTCTTATCTTGATGTTCAACTTGCTACAAGTGTATGATTATAATATTAAGTCTCAATTACTTTTATGTTTTGCCGTCGGCAAACTAGTATTTGACACTATGAAACCAAGCACTACCAATATGAATAGCCAACAGTCGTGAATGATGAGAAAGGTCCTTGAGTTTGCTGTTGTTGCAAAAGTAAATTAGAAAGACCTGTTGTGTTTACAAAGAAATTGTAAGCATATTTCAAACATTGGAATAATACTTTTTTGAAATTAAGTTGGTGAGAACTGATGCTGATGGTCCATGTTCCAATGAATTAATTGGCATTGTCCTTCATTGTCTCTCGTAGACTGATTGTTTTGAAGGAAGCTATGATATTGAAAGTGAATCAACTTGGAAACAAAACTGAGTAGGTGGAAGGAAGCATGAACTGAAAATAAACTAAACTGGTTATACGAATGAAATATACTGTGATGACTTGAAGAGAAAGAAAGAAACATAACTTCAAATAATTAACTTTAATTCATTATTTGCATAAGGCAGAGGCGATGCTGTGATGAATGCAGACAAATGACTTCAAGAAAAACTGCTGAATGTCTGTAAATGAACATCTTGAAATTATTCTCATACTAGTAAATTTGTTAGCATGCTTTAGTGTTATGAATTTAGCGGCTGGTAATTGTAGCTAGTAAGATGTAGAGACTCATAGGATCAGTAACAAAAGACGCGTGACATAACTAAAAATCTTTGATGAAGAAAACTGGAAGTGAACCGGAACAAGGTTGTTTATCCAGAAATAAACCTCTTTTAAGAGGGATTGCTGTGGGTCTGAAAAAATTGGACAATCTTGAAATCCAAGGAATTTGGGTCCATTCATAGAAGAATTAATTGTTATGTTAACATATGAATTAAAATTAAATTCTTTTGAAAATTATACCTATTTGTTGATCAAGTTGAGAATTTAAAGAATAAATTCCTCTAAATTGAATTTTTTCTGTTATTGGTGATTACCTGACTTTGGGCTAAGAAGCGCAGTCCACAAGCTTGAGAGTAAAAATAATTAACATATTTCATAATTCATGTGATGCGGATTTTTGACCAATAAAGAACTAGCGTTGCCACAGAATGGCAACAGAATTTTTCTGATTAGTTTTCTATTCCCTTTGGTCTCGGTTTAGTATTCAGACCTTGCCACATACTCTTTGCCAGCTGCAATCAGTCGCTACCGAAGTTACTTTTTTGAAATTTTCTTATTTTTTCGTTTTTTCATAGAACGGAAATATTATTTTAAGAATATTAAAAACACTAAAAACTCATTGTAAATGTCAATGTCTTTTGAACCACAATTTGGAGCCATTTTAAAAACTGGTGTTTTAAGATCTACTGTAAATTCGAAATTTGAATGCTCTCTTTCCCAGAAAATTGTTGAGTTTTTGGAAACAACTTCTGAAGAATCATTGAAACCCTTTACCTCACAAATGCATTAGTGGTTTACAATTTCCTGAAAATGTGCAAATTAACAGTGTGAAAGATCCTTAAAAAATTACATAATGCTGTAATTATTGAAAAAAACAAACAAGACACCCAGAAATGAACTTTATTGTCAAATTAAAGAGTGCTGTCCATCGAAAGTTTCAAAGAAAAATTTGGGCAGTCTTTTGAAAAATTTTTGAAAATGTCTATCATGTAAAGCTTACCCCAAATTGTTGAAGAAAGGTTTTCAAATCACATTGCCTCTAGTCCACCACATCTCTGGGGAAATATCAATTTTGAAAAAAAATCCTGACTTATGAATATACGGGTGCCTAAAAGTGTTCATGGACAGACAGACAGACCTTACAACAACACTTCTGAGTTCAGGGGGACCCCAAAAAGTATTTCTGTAGAAATCTTGAAATAATTTTTAATTTTTAGGTTTTAAAATTAAGTAGGTTTGGACTTTTGGTCAGAAATAGTAGGACAGAAAATGAAAAAAATGAAGTTTTGTCTCATTCGCTTATTAGGCCCAAATGATAAGTAAAGTATTAGATATAAATTGTTTAATTGTAGGTGTTTAACATTTGTTTTTTTTTAATATGAGCTGTAAAATTATTTACCTGCTTCCACAGAGACTGGAAATATGCTTTTCAAAATCAGACCGAACAGTTTTTTATCACGGACTTGGAAATTGAAATATTAGGAAGCGGAAGGTGTTTGTACATATAATTTTCATGTCTTTTTTTCTTTTTTTCTTTTTTTTTTTCTTTCTCATCTTAGTGAGAAATTTTTTACAGAAATGTATTCACAATGCAACAAACATACAAAATAGCTATTAATTTAGTTAAGGGAAATAGTTAATGAATCCTAAATAAAGTTGATTTAGTATACAGGTATTATGTACACAAAAAAAAAACGCCTTTTATCCAGACTTTCCAAATTTTTAAAATTTGATTTTGAGAAAATAAGGAAACTCTTTCAGGAAATTTACCTTGAGAATTTTGTTTATATAGAAATCGCAATTCTTTTAATGCGCTTGTATCATATTGTGAAGTTGTGCTTATAATTATTGTGCACATATCACTGGAGACTCAATGCATGTATAAAGTATGGTTGGCTTATTGCTTTCTGCTTTTCTGGCTTGGTTTCATGCCATTTTGTATCCAACTGTAGTTGCTGATATTTTTTATGTGAAGCTTCTGTGGTAGTTAATTTTTTTCTACAGCCTCAATCTGGAAGGAAGCAACTCAAGTAATGAAGAAAATCTAGTCAATTGCTCAAAAGAACTAAAGTTTGCTGTACTGAAAGTGAAAATCAGACAATGATATGTATTGATGAGTGAACTTGCCTACGATAGTGACTCTAGAAAGAGTGCTCTGAAGCTGATACCAAGAGGAAAAGTGTGACAGTAGGACCAAACGCCTATCGAATTCAGTTGATGATGCAGTACAAATAAAGAAGATTCGTGTGATGCAGAAGTTTTCATTAGTGATAAGGATGAAAATTAGATAAAACAGACTAATCTTCTGAAAGTT